TGAAATAATGCGAACAGACCTTAGACGGAAATGAAACTTCTTCTTTTTCTTAATTGCAGTTTCAGGAAAATAGGGAAAACTCACACTAATGAATTAAAGGCACATAAAAGAAGAGCTTTTACGACATTCTTAATAATAGATGTAACACATAAACATATAAATAAACTATTATTTTATTATTTGTACAATAAACACTTTGTAACATCGGAAGTTGTGAGAGCTATCATTTATATCTTTGATTACCTGTAGAGGAGCCTTGGTATGCTAAAGAAAATCTGTTATCTATTAGACAAGTCCGTCCGTCCGTCTGTCTGTGGTGCTGTTTCAGCGGCCAAACCGTAAGAGATAGATAAAGAGAATATTTAAATTATAAGTTAAGAATAGTCTGATAAGACTACAAACCGGATTTGAGTAACGTAGCACATCCGGTTTTCGAGAAATCACGAATTTCAAACGAAACTACACAAAATCTCCGAAGTTCTCAATTAATTAAATACATTTTTTTTATATCAGGTTTTGGTGAACATTTGGTTCACTGGTTTGCTAGTTATATTATAATAGTAAAAGTGTAAAGTGTCTCACACAGCCAGGTACTTTTTTTAAAATTATTTATGACCATGGATACAAGTCCTTCAGTCGTATACATAAATACAAATCTTTATCTTCTTGTTTACATCAGAATGTCGGTGTGACGCATTCTAATGTTTCTTAGAGTGTGTGGCACGAAATGTATCGAGTTGGTTTTTTCGGTTAGCTTTTGTGAGGTAGTGAACACGACAATAAAGTTCTCACGTCCACTTGACCGACGAGTAATTCTTCAGTTGCGCAGATGGTTGTGACACAAAATCACACCAATTTTATTTCACAATATCCACTATGAACGAATTTAAGAATAATTGAAATCGATGAAATCCCGCCACAAACTCACACCCAGGTACTTGCAATTAGGTTTCCCAGATGCTGGATTATCAATTCCGGAACATTTGTACCCCCCGAAAAAATAAAGCAAAAATGAAAAGAATGAAAAGTGATTTATTCAGTCTAGGCTGTTACAAGCACTTGTGAAGGTCAAGAAGCTACGCCATCGGTTCGCAAAACTACGGCGGGAGACCTTGTTCTGAGAAGAACCGGCAAGAAACTCAGCAAGGGCTGTTTTTTCTCCTCACTGTATTGCTATATACAGAGTCGACAAGTTAAAAAATCACCTTCCATTACATCATTCAGAATATAAATATATAGTTACAATAAATTTTATAATTACCATTATATTTGGAACATAGGAAGCGGCTATCTAATAGGTACACTATTACTGTTATGAAAAATGACAGTATGTCCATGCATTACGATCATTTAGGTAGTCATCAACTTTATAATAGCCCTTAATCATAAGAGTATTCTTGATCTGAGATTTAAATTTATTCAGTGGAAGCTCAATCAGATCTTGGGGAACTTTATTAAACAATGCAATACTACAACCCAGAAATGAACCTCTTGATTTTTGGTGTCTGAAACAGGGAACGGCAAGCTTGTTCTTAAATCTCATGTTGAAGTTATGGGTTTGACTTTTTTTTGCAAATGAATCATAGTTTTTTCTTACATATATTAAATTTTCGTAAATGTGTTCCGATTTCGAATGTTAAAATATTAATTTCTTTAAATTTATCTCTAAGAAATTCTCTTGCCTTTAAATTGTATATGTCGCGAACAACTCTCTTTTGCAGTATGAAAATACATTCGATATAAGCAGCTGAGCCGCACAACAAAAGGCCATATGACATAACACTACGGAAGTAAAATATATAATAATAAAATCAAATCGATGGGTGATGGGGAATTATTTATTTCAGAATTATTTCGCTATTAGTTTAATTTGTCACGAAACTAGCACATTATCGGAATTCGGGTCAATATGATCCAAATACTGGAAACGAGATAAGACGCTAAATTCCGGGAAAATCCCGGATTTTCCGGCCATCTGGCAAGCCTACTTCCAATGTAAGCGAGTGTTTAAAAACGATTGACCAATAAGGTTTGGCCGCCTTTGTCTGTGAGACCCTTCTGAAAATAACAATCTAATATAGGTATTTAAACATTTTTGAAGTGAATTTCCTTGAGTAAGCTGGCGAATGCGTTACGCGTTACGAAATGTGTGTTCGTGCGGCGGGAACGGGAGTTGAGTGGGGGATATAAGCAAGAGAAAGCAGTGCGCGCGAACATTTTCTTTATCTCTTTCTCTTATAGCTAGTAAATGAATTATGTATATGTATATACATAAATATATTGTACACACATACACACACACACACACATATATCATCATCATCATCATCATCAGCCTATTAATGTCCTCACTGCTGGGGCACAGGCCTTCCCTATGGATGGAATAGGGAGATTGGGCCATGACCCACCACGCGGGCCCAATGCGGAGTGTCGGGTGCTAACGACTGCAGATGCAGCCGGGACCAACGGCTTAACGTGCCTTCCGAAGCACGGAGGAACTCGAGATAGAAGATTTTTGGTCACCCATCCAATGACCGACCACTGCGAAAATTGCTTAAATTCAACGATCGCAGCCGAACGCGCTAACCCTTTGCGCCATCGAGCTCCTCAATAAACACATATATATTTATATATTTCACTTCAGTCGTGCAGTAATATGCACACTCGTTTTTTTATTGCAATTAGCGATAATCTTTATCGCAAAATTAAGTAGGTCCTATTTCAGAATTCGAATTTAAACAACTTCTAAATGCGATAAATATTTACCAATGTTACGCCAAGTGATTGTCAATATAGGCACTTAGCAAAGGCTTGGCAGATAAGGGGAACGTGAAATGGAGGTGAGCGCTAATGCTCATTAAAGGAGTCCATTACCTGGGTATTATTATTACAGTATATGGGTCTATCTTTACTCTGAAAATTCAATTCCTTTGTTCCATCAAACAATATAATTGTGTTGGAAATAATAATACAAAATAAAGGCACACATAAATAAAATAATAAATTTTTGATGTCAAATTATATTGTTACAATTAATAAGTAAAACGAAAAAATACAAATCCACGATGTCAAATTGGTTAAATTTAAAATAAAAAGTAAAATGTCAACCTAATCGTTTCTCATAAATTCGTCAACACTATAATGACATTTCATCAAAAAGAAGTCCCTCAATGTGTTTTGAAAAGATTTACGAGTATATTCAACCAACCGCTACCACATTATCAAATGACAATCATTTTATTTTCAATTAGGCTCACCAATAAGCCCATATATATATATATATATATATATATATAGAAAACTAACTGATATTTTGTTACAGAACTTGTGGCGCCCACATTTACATGCCCCCATACAAATTGAAGCAGAACAAGATATTCGACGTTTTGTCAAGAAATATCAATACTGGCTAAGAACTCAATGATGGCTATATGAAGTCAACAATAGTATGGAAAACCTACAACGCGCAAACAAAATTTAAAGACACTCACATAAATGTAGAACGCGACCAACGTCAGTCAGGCTGGTCTACACACGACGCGATATACAAGGCACATTTAATATGAACTTGAGCGTTTTACCCGCTCCTTACGACAACGGCTAACTAGAGCCGAGGTCTGAGCCTCTGAGATGCCCCTTTAGATGAGCCGACCCCCTCAGGTTCGAATGGTATAACTAAAGCACGGTAATAATATCATACAGTATTCTATCTTCATACAAATGGTCGGAAAGCGAGTCATACCTACGCCACTCGAGTTCGATGTGCTCTCGGCGGGCACCCAGTCGCGAATGCGCCGCCGCGCCGTAACGACGACCGAACGGTCTGAATTGTTTTTTATGCAGTTAGCCGTGCTTAAACATGCGTTTTGTATTGTAAATATTTGATTTAATTAAGTAGATACCTACATAATTTAGTATAGAAAAGAACAAACGACGCTCAATATCGTACAACAGCACAATTGCTGTTTTTGGTTGCTTGAACTCTTCAATAACACACCCAGAGATATCATTTTTTAAATTACCTGAAATATTGGAAAGGTGTCTTACCTTTATAGAATATTTTTTATATACCTATCTACTAGTACGTTATTTGTTTCTAATATTTAGGTATTTCGGTTTTTCCATCGGGCAAAATATCTGGAATAATATATAAATAAGTGGTTAGGATGAAAAAAGAGACAAAAGAGTAATTTACCTACACTCGCGTTAAAAACAAAACTACATAAAACACTGTAGGCTGGCGGCCTTACCGCGTGCCAACGCAGCGTTCGGTGTAGGCATTTATTTTCAAGGACAGGGCGGAGTCATAATACTGTATAGATAATATTACTAATTCTAGGCAGAGCTAATTCTTGGCTTGAGGTCCTTTTACGATCTCGCCGTTCCCGAACCCGGTGACGCTGTAAAGGGCATCTGCGACGAACAGCATACACACTAAAAAACGACGGGTTGTACTCCAGGAGTGCCGGCAGAAGTGAAAACTTGAATATTAACGTTGTGCATTTTTAATATTTTGGAATGGTTAGGGAATAATTTTGCACGAATTGCTTTAATAATATTACATTAAAAAAGTTTATCTCTCAGAAAAATCTACTTACATGAATCACGTTTAAGCGAACTTAGCAACATCTATTGTAAAGAAATCAACTTCCATGAATCACATTTAAGCGCACCTAGCGACATCATTTGTAAAAAAAATGCATTTTCTTCGCAATAAAGCTGCCACGTGGACGTCCTAAATAGAGACTTATTATTATAATACGGTAAAATAAATTTTTCCTATGTTTCGTCCAATATATTGAAAGTTAACAAACTTTCCAATTTTATTGTGTGTCATGATGCGATCAACCCACGTGTTTAACATGACGCGAGTTTAACATTTTTTACCCATACAAAAAAAAAGTGTACAACGCCGCTAAAGAAGTTTTCACTTCAAAAAAAGGCAGTCGGGGTGCGGAAGTCGGGATAAGATTACCCAGACCGGAGAAAGGTCTTCACCTTTAGGTTTTCCTACAGAACTCACCCTGTAGGAAGTTGACAGTTTTGCACATGACCTCGCCGAAGTACCAGATGAGGGTGACCGACTTGGCGATTTGCACTGGCATGCAGAACAGCGTTACCAGCAGGTCCGCCACCGACAGGTTCACCAGGAATATGTTGGTCACGCTGGAACAAATTGACATTCTTTATTATTGCATATATATATAGAACTCGATGGCGCTAGTTATCTATAATTGGGTTGATTTATTGTTTCTAGTGGTCGGCTCTTGGTCAATATTCGTCCTCTGTAAGCTTTCAAAGGATTATGCTATCCTGCGCAGGTGGTTAGCATACTCGGCCTGCGATCGTGAAAGTTAAGCAACTTTCGCATTCGTCGGTCATTGGATGGATGACCAAAACCTTATTATCTTGAGCTCCTCCATGCGTAAAGGCACGTTAGGGCGTTGGTCCCGGCTGCATCTTCAGTCGTTTGAACCCACCAATCCGCACTGGGTCTGCGTGGTCTCGCTAGCTCATTCATAGGAAAAGAATGTGCCCCAGCAGTGGGGACAATAATAGGTTGATGATGATAATGATGAATTGTCCATTGAATGAATTCACCAGGAATATGTTGGTCACGCTGGAACAAATTAACATTCTTTATTATTGCATATATATATAGAACTCGATGGCGCAGATGGTAAGCGCGTTCGGCTGCGATCGTTTAAGTTATAATGCGATTCAAATAAGAATAGGAAAGCCAATGACCTCTATATGTCAAATGTCGCTTGAAAAGTACGGTTTGCAAAAAAAAACTTGTAATGAAATTCAAGAATAAAAACTAAACATTTGTAAACAAATATTGATAATTAATATCGTTTGATTTTATTTATTTTTTAAGCATTTAACTGCTAGATGTTTTAAATCTAAAGAAAAGTTTACTAGAAAAAAATCCACGCGGACCAGGCAGCGGACGGGACTCGAACCCGCATCCTTCGCTATCCGGGCGAATGCACTAACCATTATGCTACCACGGCCCTATTAGCCGCGTCGAAATTTTCCTAGCCTTAAGCTGCAAGGCAGCGCCATCCCTTCGCATTGTAGGTAACCCACAATGTCAAATAAATACTTTTTCAAGCATTAAACATTTGAAAGAAGAAACAGCAATTATAGTTATGATTTTATTTATTTTTTAAGCATTTAACTGCTAGATGTTTTAAATCTAAAGAAAAGTTTACTAGAAAAAATAAAATAAAATATCGTTTGAATTTTTTTTTCACTTATTGAGCTTTGACCATGAATGGTTGATAACCTAATTCGTCAACCAAATGTCACTTTAAGTTGCGTTCAGAAACTCGATTTCGAACTTTCGTTTACATAAAGGATGCATGTTCGTATGTGACCTAGTAATAGTGCATTCATAACTACTCGGACGGTAATGCAGAGATGAGCGGAATAGAAGAGCTAGATTCTGATTAATGTTTTTTCTCAGTCTTAATAAATAAATGTTATTAAAAAATCTGATGCCTTTTCTCACTTAATCTTAGTAAATAAGTTTCATTGATGAAAAACTTTTTTATGCTCACTCTACCTATTTGGTTTGAATTGACAGCTCTGACATCACAATTTGGCGCCCAGTCGGTCCTATTCTTAGTTGAATCGCATTATAAGCAACTTTCACAGTGGTTGGTCATTGGATGGGTGACCAGAAATCTACTATCTCGCGTTCTTCCGTGCTTCGGAAGGCACGTTAGCCGTTGGTCCCGGCTGCATCTACAGTCGTTAGCACCCGCCAATCCGCACTGGGCCCGCGTCGTGGCTCAATCTCCCTATTCCATCCATAGGGAAGGCCTGTGCACCAGCAGTGAGGAGATTAATAGGCTGATGATAATGATGATGATATACAGAGCATTTTTTTTTAAAACAATTGTTTACTTATGACGAAGGAGTCCGGTAATCATCATCAGCCTATTAATGTCCCCACTGCTGGGGCACAGGCCTTCCCTATGAATGGAATAGGGATATTGGGCCATGACCCACCACGCGGGCCCAGTGCGGATTGGCGGGTGCTAACGACTGCAGATGCAGCCGGGACCAACGGCTTAACGTGCCTTCCGAAGCACGGAGGAACTCGAAATAGAAGATTTTTGGTCACCCATCCAATGACCAACCACTGCGAAAGTTGCTTAACTTCAACGATCGCAGCCGAACGCGCTAACCACCCGCGCCATCGAGCTAGTCCGGTAATGAATGCGCGATATTTTAATGGTTACAAAACTTCAGCACCAATCGCAGGTTATTATTACTTACTAAAACAGATTCTAGGTAAAAAGTATGGTAAAGAAGCAGCAAACAGCTACCCTAGCTATTTAGTATCATTTGCGCTCTCTGAAAACCTTATTCAAAGGAAGAATCTCAGAGCCTCACTCAATATTTTACTAAAGAATAGAAGAATATTTTGCTGAAAAAAGATGCTAACCCCGACGTAATAGTATGATGTATAAATAATTCATAAAATCATATTGGTTTTAAGCTTATATTTAAAAAAACTTGGGAAATAGTATGCTATTATAGAGGCTTATCACATTCTCAAAAAAGAAATCTTCAATATAAATACTTATACGATATTAATCTTTGCTTTTTTTTCAAGTATCCGAATAAAACCTAATCGACTACGAACTCTTTGTCTACGTGCTCGCTACGAAACTGCTACGGTGAACTACGAAGCTACGAGATCGTATTTTATTATTGCTTAAGTTCGCCGAGTCAGCTAGTATATATATGTATAGTATACCTATAATATAATCTATCTATATTATATATCTATATATATAAAGAGGAGCTCGATGGCGCAGGTGGCTAGCGCGTTCGGCTGCGATCGTTGAAGTTAAGCAACTTTCGCCGTGGTCGGTCATTGGATGGGTGACCAAAAATTTACTATCTCGGGCTCCTCCGTGCTTCGGAAGGCACGTTAAGCCGTTGGTCCCGGCTGCATTTGCAGTCGTTAGCACCCACTAATCCGCACTGGGCCCGCGTGGTGGGTCATGGCCCAATCTCCCTATTCCATCCATAGGGAAGGCCTGTGCCCCAGCAGTGGGAACATTAATAGGCTGATGATGATGATGATATATATAAAACTCAAAGGTGACTGACTGACTGACATAGTGATCTATCAACGCACAGCCCAATCCACTGGACGGATCGGGCTGAAATTTGGCATGCAGGTAGATGTTATGACGTAGGCATTCGCTAAGAAAGGATTTTGATCAGTTCTACCCCCAAGGGGATAAAATAGGGAATGAAAGTTTGAATGAAACTTTGTCAATTTTAAGCCGATCGGGCTGAGACTTTGCATGTAGGTATAAGAAGAATCATAGATGAATGTCATTGTGTATAATACAAACCTGAGAACTAAAACTGTAGTCTAAGAACAAAAACCAAATATTGCACCAAGAGTGGAAATTTCATACCTGTTAGCTGAAACTGGCTTAACATTAGCTTATTTATAATTAAATAGTGTTATTATTTACAGGTTACCGGGTCTGATTGTATATGTCATGCATCTTAAGCATTCTTTTCTGAGAGAATTGCCACTGAAGTCTTACAAGATTTTGAGCCCCCTGTGGGTCACCTTTGTCATGTTTGTAAAAAATATGCTAGCTTTGAGGCAAAATCGTAGAAAACGTATTTGAACAATTGTATGATATATTGTTTTAAACTTTCATGGTCACTAACATTATAGCTATTATGGTTACCATGTACCTTATTTTTGATGGCACTTGCAACAGTGCCGAAATATCGGAGACTCATAAAAAGCAAGGTACATTGTAACAATCCCGTAAATAACTTATATTACTATAATGTGAGTGACCATGAAAGGTTAAAACAAGACACGTCATAGATTAACCTAATACATCATCAGCCTATTAATATTCCCACTGCTGGGGCACAGGCCATCCCTATGGATAGATTAGGGAGATTGGGCCATGACCCACCACGCGGGCCCAGTGCGGGTTGGTGGGTGTAACCTAATACACAGATTATCATTTAAATATTGAGCAGCGGTATTGACATTTCCTTGGTTTCTAGATCAATTTAAATACCAAATTATAGGCATTACATGGGCGCAGCAACCTTTAGTTCTGTGACCAATAACACAATAACAACAGCAATGTTTTAATGCTTACTCTTTACTCTTGTTAAATTTGAATTTAAGTTTAGATAATCATTTCAGTATTGAGCCCATTATCAGCGTAATACCAATGACACTCAACTGAATGTGCAAGCAAAGTTCTCCGGAGTAAAGGTAAATAGCTTAAGATTCCAACTGTTTTTGTGATGCCGCCATAAAAACTAACAGCTATAATGATCTTCTACTTATAGTCGTTTAAAAAATTCTGTAAATTTCAATCAAATGTAATTCTGGAGAATACAAAAAAAGGAGATAATTTTACTAAGAAGAAAACATGACGAAACCGGTAGATATTAATGTTTGTCTACTTTCAAATGTTTCAATATTCCACATACACACACACTCTAACACACACGCGCACACACACGCACACATACGCACGTACGCACACACCAACACACACACGCACGCAAACACACATAGACAGACATACACATACATACAATATTGATTTCAATTTTGATTTCATTACGTTTGTTTTACAAATAATAATTACATATAAATTATTAATGTGACGCCATCCTTTTTATTATATTAGGGTGCCCACGATAAAGGTTTCTCCTAGTGTGGGACCCACAGTCAATGTATTGTTACGTTTAGTCAAAATAAAATAAAAAATGTATTTAGAAATTGAAGAGGCGTCAAATTTTCCAATGCTCAACAAACAAACGCAACGCCACTTGCCCGTACAAAAGGCTACTGTAGAAATTACAAAACGAAAAACTGCCTTTTATTTGTATCGTTTATTTTTGAATTAAAAGCGTGTCGAAGGCCCCTTGTACTGTTGAGTGCCTCTGGCAAAGTAATCTTTAAATACATTTTAGAGATTTGTCAAGATTGAATAGAAAATAGCTCGGGAGGACTTTTAGACAGAATTCTATTATAGTCTTTTGAGTTTGATTAGATCAATTTGATTTGAGAGGTTCTATTATAAGCAAAACTCCTTAACACACTAATTTGTTTACTAGAGTCTGTGCGGAAACAGAATGGGATTTAGATTGGAGGGTGCTGTAGTGCTTTTCTACCGTATTTGTAAGGTTTTACCCCTTTTAGACATGATTAAATACAAAAAAACCGCAAGAATTCACAACAACAAACAAATCTGTATTTATACGAAACTTTGACGTTTTACAATTTGCTGAGTTTGATTGCCAAATAAAAATCTTTATGTTACTTTCGTTTTACGCCATGCCCATTCTCTTTGTGAGGCACTAGCCTCACAAAAGTGATCCGCACCAATTGTGTTCCGCGACCCTAATCGCTTTAGTCACAACTTGACATGCAAACGACGTACATGTGAACGCCAAAAATAAATATTGATAAAATTTTGTGTTTATATGATAAAACAATCCCTAAGCGTGTTTTTAAAAAGTGCTCAAATTGCTCAAGAACTAAAAATAAAACCCACGGCATCACTTTTCATTCGTAAGTACTATAAAATATATTTTTTCATAAAAATTGTTGTTTTTTTTAATTTTTGTGACGTCGAGTACTAGTCGCCTGATTGGTCGGTAATGCAGTGACGCGGACCTCGCCGTCTCGTTCGCGCTGATGTTGAAACTTAACGAGCTGTTTCGTTCGGGTCGGTAATGCAGTGACGCGGATCTCGCCGTCCCGTTCGCGCTGCCGTGGGAATAGTTTTTGTTTGTTGCGAGAGCGTACCGTATCTACCCTTTTTGTTTTAATCTAAGAGAGAAACAGGTGGTTCACAGGGCTGGATGCATTGCAGCAATTTTAAATAAGTATATTTTGTTCGCTGTTTCAGCCATTCCTTTGTCCAGATGCGCTTTTTCTTATTTTCCTCCGTTAAAAGTATTACACTAAGAATTGACTACTAAAGCGACTTTTGTGTGTTTGTAAAGCACTGGTGGCATGGTAGTGTGGCGGCGACATCTATATGCCCCTTATTTAGACAACGGATGGAGGAAATCATTACTCACCATCCTCAAGAGATGGCGTTACCTGCACTGCGATCAATAATAGTATGGAAGCCTACATCGCGCAAATGAAATTCGGAAGCTAACTCTTCATATATACGATGCCCGACCAACATCAGTCGGGCCGCGGCCCCCGAGCTACCATCACCCAGCTCGGAGGAAGATCTTCCCCTTTGGCCTTCCTACAGTAGGATAGGGAAGAACGATACGCGTGAGGTATCAAAGTAAATAAGCGACTGGACTGCAACTCGGCGCTCGTGTAGTGTGTGGGCAATGACGGATTTGTTCACAAATGGGTACGGCTCGGGGTTCGGCTCGCGGTGCGTGTAGTGAATGGTGGGTTTAAGACTCGTATTTATCAGCTTGACCCTACTCGACGCTAAACTTTTTAGCTCTGCCTAACCTCAAACGTTACTGTACCAAATTGGCACTTTCAATACCCAAAACTGAGGTGTACCCAAAAAATCCTTGTAAACAAATGGAATATGATTCAAAATTCAATATCGTTTATTCAGTCTCGGCTGTTACAAGCACTTGTGAATGTCGAAAAGTTACGCCATCGGTTCGCAAATCTACGGCGGGAGACCTTGTACTGAGAAGAACCGGCAAGGAACTCAGCAAGGGCTGCTTTTTTCTCCCTGTTTTATTTCATACAGTGTCGTCCAATTGAAAGTTGACATCAAACTTGCAAACATGTGTTGAGGTCAACTTCCATCACATAATGTAAAATATGTAACAAGAGACAATCAACGAATTTACTAACAACAAGTGCAAAGAAAAGTCTCTAAATAGCAAGAAACAATTTTCAAAACCAAATGCTGCAATGTTTGCAATCAATGATATTATATTGGCGGAGTCGTTTCCGGCACGTGACGAAGTTGCGGCAGCTATCTTGACCGCAGCTGGTGTCTCCTTGTATTAAACTTGCAGCTTTAGTATATCTATACTTATAATAAATCTGTAGAGAGGTCAATTCTGTACATGAAATATATTTTCAAAATAACTATCAGGGGGTGATTAGTGATCGATACTGATGCCAAAAATGCAATCAGTAAAATTTTTGTCTGCCTGTCTGTCTGTGTGTATGTTCCTTAAAGAAACAAAAACTACTCGACGGATTTTAACGAAACTTGGTACAATTATTCTTCATACTCCTGAGCAGGTTATAGTATACTTTTCATCACGCTACAACCAATAGCAGCAGAGTAGTGAAGGGAAATGTTGGGAAAACGGGAGAAGTTACTCCATTTTTTAAGCTTCCGTCGCGTGTGCTTAATGGTTAAAATTACATAGGAATCATGTATGACGGAAATATTCTACATAAAATTGTTTAAAAATATCCCGCAACAGCATATGTCTATCTTTTATGGTTGACTCACAATAACACGTGTAATTATATAAATAAAGTGATTGTTTATAGCACAAGCCTGAGAACAAAAACTATAGTTTACACTACAGCTCTACACCGAAGCGAAGCGAGGGCGGGCCACTAGTTTATAAATATAACGTTGTAAAACATACATGTATACATATTTATTCCGTAGGATGATATGATAAATTAAATTTTCGTGGAAATCCTAGGGTTTTTTGTGAAAACAAAGATAGTTAGACAATGGCGATGACATTGCTCAATCTTAATGTTAACGAAATTTTATTCTGGCGCTTCTGTTTTGTTTCAAGGCAAGATTACTTTTTATTTTTATAACGAATCATTGCCCTTTGAACCACGTCCCACCCGCCTGATATAAAGCGATGACGGGGTCTAAGATAAATCATGCTTTTTGTGAAAAGTTTAAAAATACTGAGCGTGGTTGGTTTGGTGGGTTGTTACTTAAAATATTGTTACTTGTCGGGATGGGGTTCGAATTTATATGCCAGTTCACGCTTGACAGTTCTTTTTTCACCACTCAGTTCACACAATTAACACACAATGTTAATTACAAAATACTCACTAAACACTGTATTTCACTATACAAGTCACTAAACTATCGCACTGGAATACTTTTGTTGCACTTTGATCGCCTTTGGATTCGTTGTCTCTGCGCGGCGCCTACTCCGATCGACGCATTCTAGAAAGTACCTGTTAAATTGAAAATTACCTAGCACCCGCGAGTACGAAATACCTATCTATACCTACGCAGGTAACACGGCACGCAGGTTTCATCCTTACGCCGCACTGCATAAGGCTCATTTTAGAATGAGCCGCATTACTCGACCTCATATAGCGACCCGCGGTGATCTGGCAAATTCGATCGCTGGCACTTTCGCGGTTAGGTTTCGAGAGCGTTTGTGACAATATTATGTAATATTAATAAGATATCTCCATAGACAGGCGCTATATAATATTATACATAACTAGCGGCCACCCGCGACTTCGTACGCGTGGAGTTAATTCTAAAGTCTCTTACTTCAAAAACATAGGACTTTCATACAAACTTACATCCCCCGTATTACCCTCTTAGGAGTGGAGTTTCGAGAAATTCGTTCTAAGTGGATATGTATGCCCTATAAGGAACCTACTTGCCACATTTTAAGTTTGCAGATGTTATAATTTCTGAGATTTCGTGATTAACCAGTGAGTGGTATTTCGCTGCGACGTCATCTGCGTGAACGCTATACAGCAACAAAAATACCTACGATTATACCTTTTAAAATAACATATCTACAGAAAGTGCAGTAACAGAGGGAGACTGTCTTTTGTAACGTTAGTGGTTTGGCTCTCCACAGTCAAAATGTAAAGAGAGTAAGGACTGGTGACACGGGAGCAAGCAACGTACAGCTGTCCGTGTGAGAAGCAGCTCGTCCTGAGGTCGACACCCGCTGCCCTCAGTGTCTGCCCCTGCGACTTATTGATGGTCATCGCGAAGCAAACACTCACGGGAAACTGTACGCGCTTGAACTGGAACGCGAAGTTATGAGGTATGAGGGGAATACGTGGTATAAATACTGCCTCGCCGACGCCACAACCCGTAAGGATTTCCGCCTCAATGGCGTGTCTGTGGAGCGAGATGATTTTAAGGCGGGTCCCGTTATACAACTTCGGAGGAGATAGGTTCCGAAGAAGCATTATCGGGACACCGACCTTCAGCTTGATGGTATGCGCTGGAAGTCCACTTGCTGATAGGAAGTTCAGAAATTCAAACTTTATAGAGGTGTAGACCAATTCATTCCCCTCAATTTCCAAGAGAATGTATTCGTTAATTGCTGCAGTCTGATCATTATTGGGCGTCCAAATGGCTAGCTCACACAGCCAAGAATTCTGCTGGTGCGGTATACGACTGATGTCCTACACAAAGCGAATGAGTTCTTCTAAGCTGGATACAACTCTACTGAGAGACTCTGGAAGCACCACCTGTCCACCTCTCTCCTCTGGTAGAGTGCCTTCGCCAAGGCTTAGAAGGACATTGGAGAATTCTTGAGCACGTGCATTGACACTGACCTGAGCTCTCACATTGATGATCAAGCGCAGCGTACGAACTCGTGACCACAACGAAGTACTCACCTCGTCAGCCCTTGATCCCCGCGTCACCACGGGAAGCGTTTGTCGGAAATCGCCACTGAACAGAACTGTGACACCACCTATCATATGTTCGTTCCTGCGGATATCCTGCAGGGTTCTGTCCACGCCTCAACTGCCTTCCTATTGGTCATCGTACACTCATCCCATACGATCAGTGAGCAAACCTTGAGCACGTGTCCCTTATCACTGTTACGTGATACACCACAAACAGGCGCTTCGGCACTCTCTAAACCGATGGGAATTTTAAACATGGCATGTGCTGTCTTGCCACCCGGAAGCAGTGTGGCAGCGAATCCCGACGACGCTACAGCAATGGCAATTTTGCCTTGCCTCCTGACCCCTGCAAATCATCATCATCATCATCATCATCAGCCTCTTAATATCCCCACTGCTGGGGCACAGGCCTTCCCTATGGATGGAATAGGGAGATTGGGCCATGACCCACCACGCGGGCCCAGTGCGGATTGGCGGGTGCTAACGACTGCAGGTGCAACCGGGACCAACGGCTTAACGTGCCTTCCGAAGCACGGAGGAACTCGAGATAGAATTTTTTGGTCACCCATCCAATGACCGACCACTGCGAAAGTTGCTCAACTACATAGATCGCAGCCGAACGCGCTAACCACCTGCGCCATCGAGCTCCTCTCACCCCTGCAAATATGCCAGTGGTAATAAATGTATTTCCTGTTCCACCAGGAGCATCCAAGAAAAACATTTTACCCTAGTTTTGCTTTCAAGGATGGTGTCATAAAATTGTTTTTGCTCTGAAGAATACAAAGCGACATGGTCATTTCGTATGGTGGACATTTCGCCCGTACCGTAAATTGTAAAATTGTCTATTATGTTTATCGGCCTAAGTTACTTATAGTGTGAAGCTAGCTTATATCATGGTTAACATAATAACAACATTCAAATATGCGTCGTTAGATTACACGTTGTTACAGAATGCGTTGAAGAAATAAAGGTTCACTGCTCGTTCTCCGCAGTTGATAGCGTGATAATATGTAGCCTATATGTTGATCCGACTTCTTAATAAGAACCGTGGCCTACTACAGAATGTATTAGATTTTGAGATTATAATTATTACACTTAATCGTTAAAGATGTACACTGTATATATTCTGAATAAATTTAGCGTTTACCTCTATGCACTATGTAAGCACTTAAATAGTTTGCATTAAATAAACATAAAATGCAATTAATAATAAAAATAATAAATGCTTATATTCATATTGATTTATGAGTGTTGGCAGTTAGCACCTATGATACCTATACCTACCTGTTGTAATAATAGATTTCTCTTCAAATGAAATGTTCAAAGGCTTTCCATTTACCTGTTTCTATATTTTATTATCGGTAATTAGGTTTGTACCTGGTTATCATTATGAATTTCATAAAAATAAACAGATATTATATGGGATTGAAGTATAAACTATCATTACAGAATTTCAGAAATTATCTTTTTATAAATCTATTATAAATACTAGTGATAAGTATTATTAATTTATGTTGATAAATACCTATTGTCGCCTTTATTGCATTTATTAAGGCTATCTATTCAAAATGGAAATGAATAGGATTGAATTAAAATAAAATACTGGTATTAGAAATAATTTTGTGAACCTCATTGGCAGAAGCTTTGAATTTGGATGAGACAGTTTCTTAAGGCTCTAAAGATGACATGACAAGGACATGACAGCAAATTGTGTACAGTCTGTTCATCCCAACTTGTCCTATTTCGTAAACAATCTTGGCACAACTTTTTAACAAAATCACCCATTTAAAAATAAAATAATAACAAAACCTAAACTATTAAAATAAATCGTTATTATAGACTGAAACCTATTGAATCTAGTTATCAGTTGATTTTAATAAATAATAATGGTAATACGATAATAGTGAACGACATTCTTTTGTGCACACTTGGGCCGATTTTGTCGATGTCCTTTGAATTAATTCCATGCAATGCTTTTTGAGTTTATCTTGGACATACATACAGACAAACAGACAAAAATTCTAAAAACTATATTTTTGGCTTCGGTATCGATTGTAGATCGCACCCTAAGGATTCTTTTAAAAAAGTATTCAATGTACAGTTTTTACTTTCGTACCATTTTATTATATGCATAAATATACGAAATGATAAAAACCAATAAAATTTATAAAATATTGAAAAATTAACGTTGACGAAAATACAAGGTAACTTCGATTATTTTTTCAGGTCTACTTATAAAGAAAAATGTACCTACCTTTTTTACCTCCAAGTTCCTATTAAACGGAACTCACATTGAACAAGGTAACTTATTTCAGGACAATTACTCAGACTTAAGCAAGGTTAGTTACATAAGATGTAGGATTTTCCACTTAAATTTGAGAGCCTGTCTGTGGAGTAATCTCGTACCTAACAAAAGTAATCAATTAAGCTTTAATGACTAACTCTGATCCTTAGTGCTATTATAAGCAGTGAGAAGGAATCTCAAAAAAACGAGGTTAGGGTTAGGCTCCTGGCGCACTGGATGGCCACGACCAACGACCAGAATAACTAAAAAACCATTATGAACTTCGCACACTTTGTCGCAGCGGCAAACTGGCCGCACACTGGACCGGCACGAGTGGTCGTTGCGAATGCTGTAAGCGCTGGCGCACGAGGTTAGGGTTAGGCTCCTCTCGCACTAGACGGCCACGACCAACGACCAGAATTACTAAAAAACCATTATGAACTTCGCACACTTTGCCGCAGCGGCAAACTGGCCGCACACTGGACCGGCACGAGTGGTCGTTGCGTTTGCTGTAAGCGCTGGCGCACGAGGTTAGGGTTAGGATCCTAGCGCACTAGATGGCCACGACCAACGACCAGAATTACTAAAAAACCATTATGAACTTCGCACACTTTGCCGCAGCGGCAAACTGGCCGCACACTGGACCGGCACGAGTGGTCGTTGCGTTTGCTGTAAGCGCTGGCGCACGAGGTTAGGGTTAGGCTCCTCGCGCACTAGATAGCCACGACCAACGACCAGAATTACTAAAAAACCATTATGAACTTCACACACTTTGTCGCAGCGGCAAACTGGCCGCACACTGGGCCGGCACGACTGGTCGTTGTGTTTGCTATGAGCGCTGGCTTACTAGCTCTGCGACTGCGAATTCAGCCAGGCCGTGACCAGTCATTCTCAGTGCCATCAGGACAGTTTGTGAGTGAACACGCTTCGTGTCGTTCCGTAACTCAATATGACGAAAAAAATATTCTGCAATAACTTCTGACACAGAGTTATTTTAGGTGAACTAAACAAACGACCCGCAAATTCCGTAATCTTGGTCGCAGTTCAACCGTAGCTCCTGCAGCCAAGGTCGCGACCATGCCCACGACTGGCAGTGATCGTGGTCGTATAGTGTGCGAGGTGCGTAGCGTAAGCAATGCGAGAGTAATTGATCATTGTATAAATCCGTTTAATATTTTGTGGGTGGAGGACTATAAGATTTTAGGAGTGGGCGTTTATAGAATAACGATGCGCGATAACGATGCCTGGCTTGGATGCGCGCATCCGATGCGACTGGATACCGTTATATATACATATATATACTGACCCAGCGAACATCGTACCGCCATAAAAAAATAGGGGTTGGTGGTAGATGGGGGAAAATCTAGGGTTGTATGTATTTTTGTATGACGTATCATAACAAAAATAGAAAAAATATTTAAAATTGAAAAAAAAAATAGGGGTGGATTACCCTTAACATTTAGGAGAATGAAAAATAGATGTTGTCCGATTCTCAGACCTACCCAATATGCACACAAAGTTCATGAGAATCGGGAAAGCCGTTTCGGAGGAGTTTAACCACAAACACCGCAACACGAGAATTTTATATATTAGATATTTAGTTACCAATACAAAATTTTAACATAGCTTACAATTAAACAGTAGTTTTTGCACTGAGCTGAGCTCGTAACGCAAAGATCTAACATTTCAGTTTTTCTAAATGGTTCGCATTAGAATATGTTGACAAAACTTGGGATGCGATGCCATCGAGTTTTTGTCAACGTAACTATAGCAACAGACAAACTTATTTGTGCCGGCAATTATGTCATAGAAATGTCGAAATGTTGTGGATAAATTGGTGTTGACTCTGGCATTATTCTCTAAACTTAAAACTAAATTTAACATCAATCTGTCCTTTTTATTTTGTATAAAGAATGACAAGGGTGGATATACAGTTGTCTAAGTATTTGTTTAGATAACCCTGTCAGAATCGACAGCATTGTAGCTCCAATTTTTCGTGCACAGCTCTCCCCGACGAGCATGAAAGTTGGAGGGTAACTCGAAGAAGGCTGAAACGCTACGAGCGTTACGAGCGTCATACGCGACAATATATATATATATATATATAAATATATATGTAGCTTTATGCACCGCCTAATGTTAGGTTATTTAGGAAAAGAAGTTTTACTTCACATGTATGGTCCGTGCAAACTAATCTCTTATCTATTAGACAAGTCCGTCCGTCCGTCTGTGGTGCTGTTTCAGCGGCCAAACCGTAAGAGATAGATAAAGAGAATATTTAAGTTACAAGTTAAGAATAGTCTGATAAGACTACAAACACCGGATTTGAGTAACGTAGCACTTCCGGTTTTCGAGAAATCACGAATTTCAAACGAAACCACACAAAATCTCCGAAGTTCTCAATTAATTAAATACATTTTTTTTTAAATCAGGTTTTGGTGAACATTTGGTTCACTGGTTTGCTAGTTTTTATTAATAACAATTTAAAATGTAATGGAAAAGGTTAAAGAGGACCGAAAAAAAATGTGACGATGTAATAAAAGTTTCGCGTTACTAAAAAGTGCAAGTACTATAAATCAGTATTACTACTGGTAGTACTACTGCTACTTCAGTATTACTACTGGTATTACTACTGCTACTTCAGTATTACTACTGGTAGTACTACTGCTACTTCAGTATTACTACTGGTAGTACTACTGCTACTTCAGTATTACTACTGGTAGTACTACTGCTACTTCAGTATTACTACTGATAGTACTACTGCTACTTCAGTATTACTAGTGGTAGT